ATACAGTTAGGTTGTTTAAGATTTTTCTTATTCCTTAATGTAGGCATTTATTGCTATAAACTTCCCCCACAGAATTGCTTTCACTGGGCCCTGGCTGGGTAGCTCAGTTGGTTACAGCATCATCCCAATTGGCCAAGTTTGCCAGTCTGATTCCCCAGTCAGGGCACATAAAATAATCAACCAATGAATACATAAATAAGTGGAACAACAAATCAGTGTTTCTCTCCCTTTCTTCCTCTCTCTAAAAATCAATCAATGATTTGTTTTGAAATTGCTGCATTTCAGAGCTTTGGTTATGTTGTTTCCATTTCTGTCTCAAGATACTTTTAAAATGTTCCCTTTAATTTCTTCTTTGATGCATTGATTGTTCAGGAGACTGTTGCTTAACTTCCATGTTATTTCCTTTTATTGATTTCGAGTTTCATACCATTATGGTCAGAGAAGATACCAGGTAAGATTTCAGTCTTCTTGGATTTGGTAATACCTTTGTGGCCTAATACAGGGCATATGCTAGAAAATGTTCCATGCGTGCTTGAGAATGTGTCCACTGCTGTGGTCAGACAGAATGTTCTGTATATCATTTAGGTCCATGTGGTCTATAGTATTCAGAGCCACTGATTCTGTGTCTGATCCAGTTCAGAATAGAGCATTAAAACCCCTGGCTGTTACTGTATTAGTTTATTTCTTCTGTTAACACACTTAATTTTTGCTATATATATTTAGATGCTCTCATGTTGAGTGCATGTTTTAAATTGTTACATCTTCTTCATAGCTTAACACCATGATGGATGAAGAGGTTAATTTTTACCAATTTTCCAGTCTGTTTTATCTGCTGTAAGTGTAGTGCTACCACTGATATTTTTGAGGGGTTTCCATTTGCTTGAAATATCTTTTTCCATCCCTTCATTTTCAGCCCACAAGGGGGACCCCCCCAAAAAACTGGAATTATCTTCTGGAGGGTGGGCTCCCTGTAGTGCAGGCTTCCCCTGCTAGGTGAGTCTTCTAGGAACCCATCTGTATCAGTGTGCCAGCTGGTGTCGTAGTGAGAAGCTGAATTCAGCTTCAGTGAATTCTTTTTGAAGACACAAAACACGTTTGCTCATTTCACGACGGGTGATTTACAAGCTCACTGCCCGCTCCGTGCTGAGTGTTCAGCAGTTTTTGACCGAAAATGGCATGGCCCCCATGCCCCACCCTCCCTACTCACCCGATCTCACCCTGAGCAACTTTTTGTTTCCCTGGATAAAAAAAAAAAAAATGTCCTCACAGGGAAGTGTCTTGCTGATGTGGAAGAGGTGAAACAAACAAAAAAAAAAACAGCAGAAGCACTAAAAGGCATCAGAATCAATGAGTTGAAAAACTGTTTTGTGCAGTAGAAAAAAGCCTCAATAGGTGTATTACTTCAAATGGAGAGTACTTTGAAGTTGATTAAAGTTTAAACCTGTAATAGTAAATACATAATTTTTTGTAAATAAATGTTGGGGGTTTTTGGGTCCCCCTGTGTTGTTTTTTTTTTAATCTAACCATTCTGTGTCTTTTGGTTGGAGAATTTAATCCATTTATGTTTAAGGTAATGATTGATAGGCAAGAACTCATTGCCATTTTGTTGTTTTTCTTTCATGCTTTTTGTTCTTAGTGTGCTTTGACTTCCTTATGTTCTTTTGTATAACTAGGACAGAATTTTCCCTTGTGCTTACATGGGGCATATAGAAAATATCTTAAGATTATAATGCCCTACTTTGAACTGATAGCAATTTAACTTGGATAGGCATTCCTAAACTTTACACTTTTACTTCTCCCCCCACTGCTTCACATTTTAAGTTATTAATATTAGAGCTTAGACATTTTTATACTGTATATCCAATAGCAGATTATTGTAGTTATGGTTATTTTCCTGCATTTGTTAACTTTTGAACTAGAGTTATAAGTGAATTCTATACCACTATTACTATACTACAGAATTTAACTTTGACATGTTTATTACAACATTAATTTTACCTGACCTTATGTTTTTATGATGTTAATAAGCATCCTTTTACCTCCACTTAAAGAACTCCCTCCTTGTAAGGCAGGTCTGGTGGTAATGAACTCCCTGCACTCCCATTTGTTCAGGGAAGTCTGTCTCCCTCCTTAATTTCTGAAGAACAGCTTTGCCTGGTATAGAATTTTTGTCTGACAGCCTTTTTTTTTTTCTTTCAATACTTCAAATATACTATCTCATTCTGGTTTCTGAAGTTTCTGTTGAGAGATCTTCCAGTAGTCCCTTTTGTAACTTCTCTTTTTTCTTGCTGCTTTCAAAATTCTGTCTTTGATTTTTGACAATTTAATCACAGTGTGTCTCAGTGTAACCCTATTCAGGTCCAACCTATCTGGGGTTCTTTGGGGCTCATGAATCTGGATGTCCATTTCTCTTCCCAGGTTTGGGAAATTTGCAGCCATTTGTTTTAAATACACTTTTTGTTCCTTTCTCTTTCCCTTCCCTTTTGGGCATTCCCAAGTGTTGATACTGTGTCTATTGATTGTGTCCCTTAAGTCCTGCAGGCTGCTTTCTACTGTTTTCTTTCTGTTCCTCTGAATGGGTAATTTCAAATGTCCTCTCTTCTAGGTCACTGATTCTTTTGTCTGCATGGTCAAGTCTGCTTTTGAATTCTTCGGTTTCAATTCAATCCTCTATTGAATTCTTCAGTTCAGTCTTACTTTTCGGTTCTAGGATTTGTTTGGTGTTTTTCCGGTTGTGTCTATTTCTTTGTTGAACTATTCATTTTGTTCATGCATTGTTTTCCTGATGTGTTTAGTTGTCTGTATTCTTTGTAGCTCACCAAACTTCTTTAAGAGAATCATTCTGAATTTTTTTTCTGACAGTTCATAGATCTCCATTTCTTGAAGGTCAGTTATCAGAGCTTTTTTAGTTTCTTTTGATGGTGTCATGTTTAACTGATTTTTCATGATTCTTGATTCCTTAAGTTGGTATCAGCACATTTGGGTAAGCAGTTTCCTCCTGCAGATTTGCTTTGGTGGAGACAGTTCTTCACCAGTCAGCTTAGTTGGGTTTCTGGACATGTCTACTGGTTAAAAGTTCTTGGCAGGTGAGGCTTGCTGTCTCTTTTTGGACAGTTCTGAGGGTGGGGGTGGATGCCACTGGCTAAGAATGGTGGAAAGGGCTACTGGCTTGGGGCCCTGTCCAGTCACGACTGTGGGATGAGCTCTGCACTTACATGGGTTGTCTGATCAGGCTTCTAGACAGTTGAGGCTGGGTTCTATTCTTAGCAGTCTATGAATTAGCTTTCCTGCCCTGGCAGGGAAGCAGGACAGGCCCCAGGGCCTGCAGAGCTCACCATCTGGGTGCTCAAATCAGGCAACACTGTGCACTGAATAACCCTGACCACACAAAGCCACGGGCTGTGCTCTGGGTTCAAGTACCGCTGTAAGAAGGGCTGTTGGATGGGCTGTGCAGGTCCCTCTGTGCTGTAGTTAGGCTGTATTCAGCAATGGCTGGAGCTATAAATTACTTTCCCCGCCCAGACAGAGTGAGAGAACTGATCTCCAAGGGCAGCAAGGCTCTTCGCACTCTTGATTCAAGCCAACCTCCCCAAGTTCCCTGGCCAAATGACACCATTGGTCTTGCTCCACAGATGATCAGCTCGGCCTGCCATATAGTCTGAGTGTTACTGGGCTATGTAGCTCCTGGGTGGCCTGGCCAGGATCTCTGGTCAGGCAGGGGCCAGGAGCTGTGTGTAATCGGCAGTGAGTTAAGCTATCATTTCCTGCGTGAGGTCAGACTAAGCTCCAAGGCCAGCAAGACTCTTTCTTTAAGGACTGAATCAGGTCGACCTACATGCTGCTGAGTTCCCTGATCAGACTGTGCCACTGTCTTGGCTCCACAAGTGAGCAAAGCCACTGGTTGGAACCACTGCTTGGATGCGGCAGGAAGGAACTCAGTCTAAAAAGACCCATGTGCTGGTTGTTGCAAGGCCCTCCCCTCTTCTGTGTCACAATCAGATTCCCAGTGCAGTCCCCATGGGGCAGGACTGGAGTGGGGGTTCCCAAGAAGCAACTCGAAATGCTGGGGAGCTGGATATCTGCTGTGGGTTCTCTTTTCCTAATGGAGGAGCCGCAGGCCCAAGGCAGACCTCCCAGTGTGGTGCTGTGCTGGCCTGGGGGTGGGCAATGCTGTCATCACGTAGCCACTCCTCTTACCCTCTTAAAGTCCATCGGTCTTGGTCTCTGCGATCCAGGGGGTTCTTCAGCCTCCAGACCCTAGAAACCCTGTTTTCTAGGACTTTCTCAGTGGTGTCTTGTCCAGTTACTGGCTGTTCTTTTGGTGAGGGAGAGTGAAGTCAGGAGTGACCTGTCACCATTTTGGTGATGTCACCACAATTCAGCGTTTATCAGACTTGTAACGGCTGCCTCACAGACTTAGTCTCAGGCTTAATGACAGGGAAAGTGCCTGGTGTACAGCAGGTCCTGAGCACATGTTGGCTTCTTCCAGCATAGCCCAGCGTTCCAGCCGCCTTCCCCAGCAAATACACATGCTTCATACACATCTCATTCCTTTCTGTACAAATTCCCATACCTCTGGCTCATGCCAATTCTGCCACCTAGAATATGCTTCTCTGACTGCTAAGCTCCTACTCAGCCTTTGAAAACCAGCAGAAATATCAGCCTTGTGAAGTCTCACCAACCACTACAAATGATCAGTCCCACATCTGTCTCTTGCCACCTGGCTCCTTGCTCAGTACTTCTTAGACTGTGTTTGTTTACACATTGGCCTGTCGCATGTTGAGGGTAAGGACTCATCTTATTGATTCCTAATTCAGGAGCTGTCAGGTGGAAAACACAATTCAACATTCAGTGTACTGCCACTCAAAGCAGGAATGGGAGCTTGAAAGGATCTCCCAAGTTCAACAGATACTATTCCTATACCTTCTAGGAAACTTAAGGACATTTTGTTTCCTCAATAGTGTGATCTTAAAGCTTCTCCCCTTGTGTGATCCCACCAGCTACCAGCTCAGGAAGCACCTGTCCCACCTTCGGCACATGAAGCAGCATGGAGCCAGGAATATGGACAGATGGAGCCGCGAATGCATGGCACTGCTCCTCCAGGTTTGGAGGAAGGAGCTGGAACTAAAACCCCCAAAGACCATCACAGTAAGCAGGACCACCAAGAATCCATCCAAGAGCAGCTCGGGCGCAAGGTCCACCAGACACTCGGTGCTCAAGCAGATCTACGGTAACTGTCCTTCTGGGCACTTGGTAGTTTACAGGCTCCCCCAGTGAGTCGAATCAGAATCTGAAACAGGATTTAACGGCACTGGGCAAACCTCCATTCACGTGGGCACTGTATTATCCTTCCAGTCATCAGGAGAACCTCAGCACTACATTTGGGGCAGTCTGGGTAAGATTCGGTTTGAGATGAGGCAGTCCGGCATCTCAACCCAGAGAGCCTTCTAGCCACGAGATTTCCTGCCGGGCTTCACACCTGAGACTCACCCCTGCTGCAGCTTCCCGGGTCCCTACCTGGTCTTCCCCTGACATTGCCAGTTTGGAGGCCTCTAAGCACAGGCCCGCGCTGCCTGCCTCACTCCGACCTTTCCTTTGCTCAGACTTCACAGGGTTGCCCCTCTGCTGAATGCCCCAACCCCAAGCACTACAGTAAGGACTTGTTTAGCAGATGAAATGCTGCAAATTAAACCATTTTCTGCTTGGGAAAGAGACCATCCAAATAAACTCAGCAGAGAACAAGCCTGACTAGCTCTGCAACAGAAAAGGAGTTGAGCCAAGGCATCTTGAGCCTCTCTAGGCAGCAGAATCTCAGAACTTGCCCCTGGGCCTACAGGGCATTCCCACGCCGTACCTAATTCATCTTGGCTGACGCTCACTCGTAAGCTCAAGCCTTCATTCAGTTCAAGGAATTCAGCATTTGGGCAGGCCACGGCTACCATTGGTCGTTGCTTAATCAATCGAGTATGATTAATACTTAACCATGTTATCATTGGTTGATTTCAGGTTGCTCTCAAGAAGGGAAAGTCCGTCATCCCACAAGATCTTCAAAAGCCCAGTCTGTGCTGCGTCTCAACTCAGGTAAGGCAGCCGCCGCGCCGGCAGCGCGTCCCGGAAGACAGCATGGGCAGCAGCACTCCCCTCTGCTGTCCCATCCCCCAAACCAGAGTGACTGTCCGGGGTTCCCAGTGGTCGTCTGATTTCAGGTGCAGACTTGTTTCTCATGCCCCTTCCACGGAATTATTACTGCAGTTAATGTCTGTCTCCATAAGAGGCAAGTTATTTGTCACCAAAGCTATTATTAAAATTACCTCCAGCAGAAACAATAAATGGTAGCTGCTATTGATCTCCTTAACGCACTGTACTTGTTCACATAAAGGCAGGGGGAAGTGAGAAGACTACTCTTCTTCAAAGTCGTACCTTGGGAGATCTTGTTCCATTTTGGTTTCACATTAAGATCCTCCACCTCCTTCCTAATGGCTGGAAGGTTCTTAACCACAAATTCTGGCTTTTGCCTTTTAGGGCCTCACAGGGAAGACATTAATATTTAATGGCATATCCCTCTCAGGCTCAACTGTGCCGTTTCACTCATACAGCAGCAGCTCAGGGAACTTTCTTCTCAGCTGCAGAACGAAGGTGTTTTACTGAGGGCTTCGTTCACACCGGCATTAAACTTGGGTGATAAGTTCAGTGCTGTCAGCAGTTAATGCCAGGTCCAGTGTTTCCCTGGGCGGCGGTGACAACAGGCACCCCTCCCACGGGCTCCAGCCGTCCTGCAGGATCAGAGTGCAGCTGGGGAGGTGAACAGTGACTGTCAGCACGAACTTTAACATTCATTTAGTTTTTGATGGAGGGAAACTTGAAGGGGGAGAGTAATTACTGCCAAGTCTTTATTAAGTCAGGCAACTCACGTAATATAGACAGGTTGATCAAGGAATGGTGGGTGGGGTAGCTGGAAACTTCTAAAGGAATTAAGGCCCATAGTTCTAGTAAGAAAAAAAAAACCTCGTTATACATGAGTGAATTAAGAATAGTTTCAAAAAAAGAACTGTCAGATATAACTACCAGAGAAGGAGCATTTAGACAAATATTATTAATCTTTAAACCTTGTCTTGAGAAAAATCCAGTACTACCAGAAATCTTAAAAAATGGTGTTTAGCAGCATAAAAGGTTTTGAAAGGACTCAGTTAAACAGAATAAAAAAATTCAAAGAAATGCCTAACGGTTTCATAGGACTTCATATGTACAGAAGTGTAATTCATACTGGCTTAAAAACAGAAAAGGACTGAAGAGGATCTTTTCCTAAGCCTAAACTTGGAGGAACACAGGTTTTATTAGGCTCACTCATCCCCATTAACCATTAACCAGTGAATAAGGCGGATGGTCAGACAGAGCTGCTGGCTAGTTGAGCTCACAGGTGGCACACACAAGGCCTGCAGGCTGAATCCGGCCCCGCACCTTGTTTCTACCCGGCGGCAGCGCCGAGCTCCTTGCCCCTAGTTAAGCAGTAGTTACATTTACACAGTCCTAAAGTTACATTTGGCCCTTTGAAGGCAACCTCGAGGCTGATGTGTCCCCCAGTGAAAATGAGTTTGACACCCCTGGTTGAGCTGCAGCCTGTGTTTTATACAGAAAACATGTCTATAAATAATCTCCATATGAGCATGTCTTAAACATACACAGAAGTTTGTGCAATGTAGAATCATAGATGTCAGGTTGAACCAAAAAGAATCATTCATTTTGGTCTTCAAACTTAAATATTATTTCATTTTTTGCTTTGGGAATCGCGTAGGGTTGATCTTTCAGTTTTGCTCACTGTTCCATTTGGCGTTAGGAGACTGTCCGGCACACTGCGGATACCCACACATGTGACCGTAGACTACCGTCCAATGTGGGGAGTAGCTGTGTTAGCCGTTTCCTCCTATGAGGGAGCAGAAAGCAAGCTGGATATAGGAAAAGTGACAGCACCCACAGGCTTTCTCTCTACTTGTACTCAGGAGAGAAGTGAACAATCCCTGCTCTCCCTAGTCTTCCACACCACCCCTGCGAACCACCCACAAAGAACAGGAGCACAGCAGTGACCTGTGTGCACATACACATAAGTAAGCTCTCCTCAATTTGGGGGTCCAGCTCTTTAAAAAGAAAAGAACCCCTTGTAAAAAAAATCCATTCTGATGAATACAGTTACCATGGCTTAAGTGATTACTAGTAATGGCACCTCCTTAGATGGGTGCAGAACATTCCCGCCCACCTACAGTGGGGTTGGCAAATGACAACTCAAGACTTGAAACAGTAAAGGCAGCCAAAAAACATGCGAGTCACAAAACAGTAGTTCACTTTCATTTTATTGAAGTAACAGTATTAAAACAAGGAGAGAAAAAGATACGTGTCTAACTTTTAAAACTACTCACCTTTCATGTTCACTCTGCTCCCCAGAGGTTAGCACGTCACAGAACTGCTTCAGCAAGGTCTCCTAACTGTTTGGGGCCTCAGTATCCTCGCTTGTTAAACCAGAGGGGTGGGTACACCACTAATTTTTGCAACTGTGGCATCCTATAATTTTATAATTTCAAAGTCATGAAGAGGCCTAAACAACCCATTTCGAGTTCGATATGTCTATGAGCCTATCATCTGAGTAGTTTTTGAACAAATCTATTTTCAAAAATGGACAATAGACAAGTGTGTGGTATGTAGAGTTAAAAGAGGTGGCCCTGGCTGGTGTAGCTCAGTGGATTGAGCGCGGGCTGCAAACCAAAGCACCGCAGGTTCGATTCTCAGTCAGGGCACATGTCTGGGTTGCAGGCCATGACCCTCAGCAACCACACATTGATGTTTCTCTCTATCTCCCTCCCTTCCCTCTCTAAAAATAAATAATCTTTTTTAAAAAAATCCCTTTAAAAAAAAAAAGGTATGTATGTGCATATGTATGTTTGTACTGTTACATTGGAGAGATGTACAGAAAGATATGCCAATTGGTCTAGGCCAGCTGGAAGCCCAGGTTTATACCCACTCCTCCCACTCAAGGTTCTTCCTTGAGAGGTGCCATATATCTTTAAGATGATGGAAAATGCATGGCTGATAAACCCCCTGTCTCTGTAATATACTGGCTGTCTCCTTGTTTAGTGCCAGGTGTGGTACAACACTAAACCCTTTCTTCTTACCGCCAATAAACTCTTACCTTCAGCATTAAAATTAACCTGAATATCCACCTGATATTTGTTTTTAACAGTGAGCAACTTGCAGTGTATACACCTCCTTGAGAACAGTGGAAGATCTAAGAATTTTTCTTACAACCTGCAACCAGCCACTCAATCAAAAAACAAAACAAAGCCTCGACTGCCTGTGGAGGAAGACTGCATCCGGGGTAACTGGAACAGCTAGTAGGGAGCTGTAACTCTCTGCTGATTATCTTTGACATCTTGGGTAAACTTTAATGCCCATGCCTGAAGCCTCGTTAGCCTGAAAATGTGGTAACAATGGGAAGAAAATGTCAGAATGATTTATTTCTGTTCTTACACTACATTGTTTGGACATTACTTTAACCTGAGCTATAAAGACCAGGGTAGACCACACTTATGCAAAACGGCCTAGATGTCTGGCTTCACCTCAGTCAGTATGGATAGAAAGGAGAACTTATAACCACAGTAAAACCTAAGGTAAACTAAGACCACGAAGGCTGCTGGGCTGGGATTTCTGCTGGCCAGGCCTGGTGGAGGCCTGGTTTGTTTTGTTTCTTTCGCTTCAGTGAAGAACCTAAATGAGACAGGGAGAAGCCTGTCCTATAGCAGCCCCCTTCATGTCACTCTTTTTTCTGGAATCTAACGCAACAAACTGCATTACAGACACCACATCCCATTATTCCATCATTACAGTTTTAAGTGTGAGACCAGAATCGTGGCCCAGCGTATGCTTTCAGAAATTAACTGTAAGACCACAATAGGTGTTCTGTTCACCTCTGTTGATTCCTTACATATCACAGTTCATGTGAGCCTCTGAAGGCCACAGGCTGCGACCACATCCTCTGTGAATGGCAGTTCTGCTATCAAGTCAGCAGGTGCACAGACACCGTTTACGCACAAGGTATCAACTCAGGCCTTAACATTCCACTTGTGCTTTCTGTCTGACCTGTAGAGGGAGCAATCTTATCAAAACTCCATTCCTACTGGCAGGAAAATGCCGTTAACTGCACACCTTCCAGCTCTCTAAGAATACATGGTTTAAACGAAATCTAGTGATTGGGGGTTTGGGGACTTACGGGCTTTTGCACGTTTTTAAGGACAAAGCTAATATAGGAATTATAGACAGGCATAAACAGTGATTACATAGGCTCACAAGCACTTCCAGGGTTGCTCCCATTTTCTTAAGATTACTGACACCCTGGTCTTGACAGTAAGAGATAGGAAGCAATCAAGTGTTAACCCCCTGGATTTTTTATAGTCTGCTAAATTATTTCATGATTAGGAAAATGAATATATCTCAGAACTCACTATATATAGCCAGTTATCTTTTAGAAACTATGATGGGTTAGAAAATCACTTTTGAAAGCAGTTATCTCAATCAAACCAGCCTCCACGCAGGCATAGGAAAATCAAAAAACTAGCACTGTCTCAAAATTGTGCCCCTGTGCCAAGGGCTACAAAACCTCTGTAAATACCAACTCCATAGTGAAAGCTCAATGTCATCATGGATCAGAGTGACCACTCCCAAATGAAACAAAAAACTGCTTCCTGCTATCTGAATGACTTGGAGCTAAGAACAGAAAGAATGAGGTTTGCTTTGACGGGATCACAAAGAATTAGCTTACTTTTTTTGTAAATGGTAGTACCGTTATCACTCCGATTTTTGTAAATATCTAGTTCCTAGGAAATGTAAAATATACCACCATGTATCACGCGCCAGTCCAGGAAGCCAGCCTGCATTATTTTCCTACCTTAGTGCAAAGGAAGGTTCATAAACAACTTCTTTAAAAGTTCAGCTTTAATGACATTTATTACATCAGTCTCTCTTCAAAATTAGATGTGAATAAACCATTTTAAACAGGAAGTGCGATGGTGCCTCTTTAATATACTGCATTCAACACGCTGGGCCCCTGAGGGTGCCCAGTAATGTACACGTTAAAGCAATAATGCAAGTCCGTGAGCCACTGCTCCTGAACACCTCCACTCTTCAACGTCTGCAGAGAGAAACAAGAGTAGTTTGAGAAGTCCACTAAACTTGCCACTCCTGAAGTGATTTTCACATCCAAACATCTCAGAGCCACTGCAACAGCATCCCACCTGTAAGTCACCATGGGAAACCTTACTGGAATTACTACAGGCAGTGAAAATTCCTAGTGAAACCCGTACAAGCAATGATGGTTTCTTATGTGGTTTCGATCCCTCCCACAAATGCTAGGGATTAATGCAATTTTACCACCCACCAGCCCTACACTCCAAAATTCCTCCTCCTGGCATTCTAGAGTCTCTCCATCTTTGCACAGGGTCAACTGACTTCTGTCATTGTCTTCCTTATGGAGGCAGGTTGACTGTCCAGTATGAGTAATCCAAATTCTTGACTGCCCTTCCTTCTACTATTTCTGAATTACTGTTACATATACCAATTAAGAGCCCCCAAATCAAACATCTATACCAAAAAAAACTCAATTCTTCCCAAGTAAAAACACCAGCGGAATCATAACTGCCCCCAACAACAACAACAAAAAAACGCAACTGAACACAGAACCAACCACACTCTGTCTTCAGACGGAGCTGAAGCCTGCAACTTCCTTTCTCCGACTTCGTACTCTCCAGGGATTAACTAGAAATTGGCCTCAAGTTTATTCCTGCTAAATTTCCTAATTTGTTGAGTAATTAAGAAATGTCAGCTACACTAAAAATTTTACTTGGCTGATCTCATTAATGGTCACCAAAACCCAACAGAGTTACTATCAGTCCCATTTCTACACCTAGGAAAACAAGCTTGGATAAGGTTTGTTTTGTTTTTTTTTAAACTTGCCGCCCTGCTGGTGTGGCTCAGTGGATGGAGCATAGGCCTGTGACCCAAGGGGTCACTGGTTCAATTCCCAGTCAGGGCACATGCCTGGGTTGCAGGCCAGTTCCCAGGGGGCGTGCAAGAGGTAACCACACATTGATGTTTCTCTCCCTCTCTCCTTCCCGTCCTTTCCCCTACAAAAATTAATTTTAAGAAATCTTAGGGGGGAAAAACTTGCCTAACTATCACAGTTAATCAATAGTCTCTCTTAGAATCCAGGTAGCAGTGAATCTGACATTTTCCAACTGAGTTGCCTGCCACCTTAATGAGTTTGAGTATTTCAAGGCTTTTATGGCTGACTGTGGGATGAAAAAAATACCCCAGGTGAAGTGACAGTCAGGGACCAGGCTACAGGAGAAACCCTGGGAAGCCACCACACTGGGCTTAATTCCAGCAGTTTGGTCAATGCTCAGGAATCCTGTGCCCCGCATGCCTTGCCCCTGAATCCTTCCCAGTACTCACAGTACAAAACCCTCGTTCCACGCTTCTTACCGTGATATTCTTGATGATCTGCTGCACCAAGATGGCATTGGTCAACATGTGAGTCCTGAGGGGTGCATGCTGAAGCAGCAGGCGGAGCAGCTGGCCCACCACAGGCAGCTCCTCAGGAGCAGCTCTGTTCACCCGCAGGCTCTGCAGCATCAGTCTGAGGACGCGAGGCAGGAGAGCCAGGATGGAGACACAGACCCCCCAGAGCTTGTCCCTACAGTAACAGCAACAAAAATGAGTCAGTGAGCCAACATGTACAGGAAAAGTACCCTTTCTGTATTTCCCAAAACTGAAAATGTCCTTTTAAGAAACAGTGTTTCCTCCTCCTTACACCACACGCGAATAAACTGAAAATGGATTAAAGACTTAAATGTGAGACGTAAAAGACGTAAAACTCCTACAAGAAAACAGGCAGTCAAATCTTACGTTTCTCTCAGCAGTATTCTTTTCCTGATGTATATCCTCAGGCAAGGGAAACAAAAAATAAATTCGAATACATCAAATAAAAAGTTTTGCACAGCAAAGGAAACCATCAACAAAATGAAAAGACAACTTACTGAATGAGAAAAGGTATCTGCCAATGGTATATCTGACAAGGGGTTAATTTCCAAAATCTATAAACTACTCATACAACTTAACACCAAAAAAAACAAACAATCTGGTTAAAAAAAAAAATGGGCAGAAGACCTGAACAGACATGTCTACAAAGACATAAAGTTAGCTAATTAAATACTGGTTGGCCAAAATGTCTGTATGGTTTTTTTCCCATAAAAGACATATTGTTCATTTTTACCAATAACATTATTGATTTGGATATTCTGAGTATGTTGGCTATCTCCTACTATTAGCTCTTAGTGGGTAGAGGCCAGGGGTGCTGCTACACATCTTCCAATGCACAAGACAGCCCCACAGCAAGGAATTATTTGGCAAAATGTCAACAGTACCAAGAAACTTCACAAACCATTTTTGACATGTTCATCAGTCACAGCACTTTCTCCATACACCAAATTTCTTTTTCTTTCTTTTTTTTTTTGCATTTCAGGTGTGTTTTTACCTTTACTGAAATAATAGCCCTGGCTGGCAGAGCTCAGTGGATTGAGCACGAGCTGCGAACCAAAGTGTCGCAGGTTCGATTCCCAGTAAAGGTACATGCCTGGGTTGCAGGCCATGAACCCCAGCAACCGCACATTGACATCTCTCTCCCTCCCTTCCCTCCCTCTCTAAAAATAAATAAATAAAATCTTAAAAAAAAATAAAGCATAATACACCAAAAATGTTTCCTGTCTTCTTCTATCCTCAAAATTAAAATGACTAGCTACAGAAAATTTCACCAATTTTAAGTTTTCTTTTAGTGCACACCGTTATGGCAGCTGTCACAATACAATTTAACGACGTTGTGAATGAAGTTAAAGACAACTAATCACTACTAGAGGCACCATATAGAAAAAACTGAACTTTTTGGCCAACCCAGTATTAAAAATTGCTCAATGTCACTTATCATCAGAGAAAAAAGCAAATTAAAACCACAATGAGATATCACCTCACAACTGTCTGAATGGCAATCATCAACAAATCAATAAACAAGTGTTGGTGAGAATGTGGAGAAAAAGGGAACCCTTGTGCACTGTTGGTAGAAATGCAGATTGGTGCAGCCAGTGTGGAAAACAGTATAGAAGATTCTCAAAAAAAAAAAAAAAACCTAAAAATGGAACTGCCTTATAACCCAATGATTTCACTTCTGGGTATATATCTGAAGAAACCCAACACACTAATTAAAAAAATTATGCACCCCTATGTTCACTGCAGTGTTATGTACAACAGCCATGATATGGAAGCAACCCAAGTGCCCATCAATAGACAAATGAATTAAAAAGTTGTGGTACAGCCCTGGCTGGTGTGGCTCAGTTCGTTGGAGTGTCTCCCATACACCAAAAGGTTGCAGGTTTGATCCCCAGTCAGAGCACATACCTAGGTTGCGGTTACAATCCCCAGTTGGGGCATGTACAGCAAGCAACCAATCGATGTCTGTCTGTCTGTCTCTCTCTGAAAGCAATGAAAATGTCCTCAGGTGAGGACCCCCCCAAAAAGCTGTGGTACATTTATAAATTGTACTAGTACTTGGCCATAAAAAAGAATGAAATCCTACCATTTGTGACAGCATGGATGGACCTAGAGAATACTATGCTAAATGAAATAAAGACAAATACCATATGATTTCACTTAAATGTGGACTCTTAAAAAAAAAAAAAGAACAAAATAAACAAAACAGAAATGGACTCAGACAGAAAACAGACTGGTGGTTACCAGAGAGAAGGGGACTAGGGGACTGACTTTAACTTTTGATGCGTGCACAGCAGGCTAGGATATTCACGTACAAGAAAAGAGAACGCCAGTCTGTAGACACAGCTAACACTGAAGCAATGGTAGAGAGAGAAAGACTACACAATCTGTAAGGAAGAGAATAGAGAAAGCCACTTCGGTTCCTGCTGGGTTTCAAATTCTTACTTCCACAACTCCAGCTCTTGAGTTCTGTAAGCTACTCTTGAAATGTTCCAATGTATTTATTTTCTTCATTAGCCAACACTGTGCTGAAAGGGCTTATGGACCCTACCTCACACCAAATATAAGTACATTGAATAGATAAGTAAACTTTAGAAAGTCTACCTTTATACACCACAACTACAGAAAACTATCAAGCCAAGAGAAAAACAAGAGCCTTGGGTACTAACAGGTGACAGAACGACTTTTATTTTCTTCTATTTGCTTACCTGTTAGCTTTTTAAAAAATCTTCCTGCAATGACTTTTAATAGGCATACCAGTAAGAACATAAGCATGAGAGCACTTTTTAAAAACAAAACTGAAATGTTCGAAACTATCCCAGAAGCTTTAGTCTGAGTTTCATACAGGAATAAAACTGAGTAATTAAAACAATAGCATCTTATAACTATTTCCTTAAGTCCAAGAATTTAAAATTCTACTCTGGCTAATTCTAATGAAGCCCAAAACAAAATGTAGAGACTTGTACACTAATAAACCCATCCTTCTAAAGGTAGAATTTTTTTCTTACTAAACCTAGAACAGTATTAATAAGGAAAGCTCTCAAAAAACTTTAGAATGCCATCTAACTTTTCAAATTCTCACAGCACAAAGGGGATTCATGAAAGAACAAAGCAGCAGCTCTGGTGATGGAAGGAGTTTTGACTTGAGGTGATGAACACACAATACAATATACAGATGATGTTTTATAGAGTTGTGCACCCGAAACCTGTAAGTTTATAAACCAATGTCACCCCAATAAAGTCAATAAAAAAGAAGAAAAAGGCTAGCTAGGTTTATACAAACTCTGAAAGAGAATGTAAAATATTTCTAAAATCTAATTCTTCCACTCTTAATTTTTAAATGATTGATTGATTGATGGGGAAGGAATGTAACAGGTAGGAAAAAAACTGAAGGTGAAGAATGAAAAAACTATTACCTCTTTCTTAGATGTTCTGCTTCTCCTCTCTCTAAAGTGAGCAGAAAGTACAGAAGACTGTAGCAACAAGAAGCCAGAAACGGCAGTAGAGTCTCACTAAGCACACACGTATGATCCAGGAGCCTACAGATAACACCCAAAACACAGCCAGCCGTGCTGTCAGGAATTACAGTGAACCCAACCTAGGCAGAGAAAAATGAGATTAATGACATCTACACAACAGTTCCCCTCTCCTCCCCAGGGTAAAACCAAAACCCTATTAACTAGAGAGTTAACCGCAGGACACTTCTACCGAAAACTAGTATATACAGAATACATGTCACCTGCCACACCCTGAGGTCCTGTTTTCCCGAGAATTTAATCTCTACATTAAATGACTTTAAAAACATGCAAACTTCAAGAAATACTATTAACCCAAATCCATTGCTTCGCCTTCCTGACAGTCTTCTAAAACTTTCTAAATATTACAATTTCTATTAATAGTTAGAAATACTATCTAAAAAGATGATTTCATGCACCCAAAGAAAATCTTGATACAATCACCCTTATGTGATCTCTAGATTATTTAAACTGGAAAACTAGTATCTGGCACCACCGCCATCCCAGTAATTAAATATACAGAACAGAATTTATTCTGCAATTACCTCTCCCCTGTCCTCTGATTCAGTCAGTCATTCAGATGACTAAGCACTGGAGTCGAGAAGCTACTACTTACCACTTGATTGCTTCACTGCCCTAAAACCCAGATAAGGGACATCATGGGATACTAATGCATCTAGATTCTACTATAGAAGCTGGAGAGTAGACTCTGACTTGTAACTGTATGTATCCATGGTTTAAATCTCCTAGAACTACCGTTGAATAGTCATAAAAATCTCTACAGGCTCTGAGGTCTCAATCCTTCCATCAGGTTTTCTGAAAACAACTGCCTAGATTGACTGGCATGTTGAGCTCCTACTAGGATAATGAAAGTAGTCAAAGGACATGCATTTCGGGACTAGAGGTTAAAAACAGGTGGGGGTCTTGGACACAAGAGAGATAAGGATTAGAAGTTGGTGTCAGGGAGAAAAAGAGTAAAGGGAATTCGAAGCAGTATTCTTCCAACTCAAGGGAAATGACATTTTAAAGGAGGAAAGGTGTGAATGTGCTTATAAAATTATGCAAACAAAGAAAAGTCTCTGGAAGATAAAAATTTCGATCTCTCCTTTGCACTATAATGCATTATTGTAATAAAAAGCCGAAGGTCAAAAGTGTAAACGTTAGAGGAAATTAAAAACAAAACCCAGGCATACCTAATGTGAATTTAATACCAATGGGAAGGAGAGACGCTGGCTGGAAGACGAGCCATTCCCATGACTAACTCACTGCCTCCGCAGTGAGGAGGCCGCGAACCAGTTAGGTCATGTCCCTGTACTTCAGACCCCAAATCTTCTGCGTGGGAATTAGACCCCAGTCTGGATGCTGGCTTCCCAATACACTGATATCAGGCATGTGTTAATTAACCATTACTAATCAGAAGGACCAGAGGCATAATTTCAAGGTCTGTCTTTGAACAGATGTAGAAAGTAAGGGCCTGGCATAAGAGGGGATTTTCCCAAACTCAAAAATTAATTGGCAGCAGCCAGGAAAAACACCAGGATTTCTCAGTTCTCATCACAGCATCATGCTGTGAGAGGTTACAAGCTTAGGATTCTAGATTCTCGTTCTCTCCTAGGCTGTGACAAACTCATCATAAGCTTGAATCTACGTGCTTTTTCGTGCAACAGAAAAGAAGTTTAAGTATATTTACCAAATGCCTGCTGATGGCGCTTTGCAGGATGTCAAAGCTCTGGCTTCGGGCAGGGATAACCAACAAACTGTGACAAACTGTCTGTCAGAAAAGGAGAAAACCAGTAACTAAATTGGAACACTTTAGGTCAGAAACAAGCTCAAAAGATTTCTAAAAAAATCTACTTGCTCTACATATTAACGGGAAACTTAACAAAAATTGAATCTGAAGATGCAAATGTCAAAGTTTAATCACGTTTCACACATGGGCTAATTTTCCAAGTAACTTATTAGATACTTACTGAGCGCTGAGCTAGTCCTATCAGGTGCCACGCATGAGAATGAAAGAATTGAGAAATTCTTCTCCCTCACAGCTCTGAAGTACTTCATAATTTACCAAGGTAGAGAGACTATATTTCTATTTAAGTGCTTAAAAAAAAGATCTGAGTGATGTAAAGGGCTGACAATAGACCTTTCTCCGTTTGGTGAAAAGACATCATACAAAAAATACTTATGCTTCAGATATTAAGACCCTGTCTGAATTCATTGTAACACTGTATCCTATTCCACAAAAGCAAAAGAAAATATAGGAAAAGTATGAGGGAACCAAATCCCTAATTTTTTTGATTTTCTAAGTTCTCAAGAAAACAGAAAGGGAAGGACAGCACTGAGTTCTTAGAGACATTGTAAGAAAACTTCAGAAGCTGATGGAATATGGTGCCAAAAATGAAAATATGCAGAAAAATTGCAAGGGGAGAGAAAGCTAAGACTGGTGGAAAGAAGAACACTCTAGGAAGAGGGCAATCAAGCTACATTCCAGAGAACTGTCAGCCCTTAAAAATCAACAGCTCTAGGGTTTATTTCTCTATAAAACCTGTTGTAGATTGATATCTATCAATTTTCAGTTTTCAAGTGGCAATTTTTCTTATCTTTTATACCTATGAGTAACAATGTAAACACCATACTTCCATCTTTCTACTTCAAAATGAGCACAGGGAATATTTTCATGTCAAAAGGTAAATCATGTTGAAAAGGCCTATTCAATAGTAAATGCGGACTTGATCCCTTTTCTTCTGCCTTCCCTTCCAGAACTCTTCAGTTCTAAAGCCACTGGGTGGGGCCAAGCTGGGTACCACCCGCACTGGAGTGCTCGGAAGAAGTCCCGTGTCACAGACAGAGCACGAAAAGACAAGACAGAGGAAGGCTATCCCAAAGAGTCGGGAGTGCAAATGGGGTGAGAAAGATGCCTGTATGGGAGAGGAGTGGCACCAAAAGGAGATTGATCATAAACAAAAGAGTTTTAATCTTATGTCCACACAAAAAACTACACATGGATGTTTATTACAGCAGCTTTATTCGTAAGTGCCACAATCTGGAAGCAACCAAGATGTCCTACAGCAGATGAATGGATAAAAACCGAGTGCTTCCAGACAAAGGAATGTTACTCAACACTAAAAAGAAATGAGCTATATTAAGCCATTAGAAAAAAAATGGAGGAACTTTAAATGAACATCACCAAGTGGAAGAATATAATCCGCCCTGGTCTGTGTGGCTCAGGTGGTAGGAGTGTTGTTACTCTAAAGGGAGATGGGAAAGGCCTACACAGGGGCTTCAAAAATAATGAAAAATGTTCTTTCTTAAACTGGAGTTATATTTTATTATTATCCTTCAGAGCTTAATCATGTTAAAAATATTCTTTTACAACCATTCAATATTTTATAAATGACAATTATTAACCTTATAATCTTTCACTGGTTCTGGAATAGAAAGCTCCATTAGGGAAAGGTATCTCTGTCCAGAGATTCCTTTTCCCTTTGTGATCTTTCCCTTTTAATTATTGTTTCCATCATTAACGGCAAGGTCCAGATCAGTGCATAGAGTATGTTATTTCTATAAAAGGAGAAAAACACAAGAATATATGTAGTCATTTGTGAAGACAGAAGACATCTGAAAGAATACATTTAGAAACTGGGGAGGAAGAAAGGGCTGAGAGAAAGAATGGGAAGAAAACTTTTTACTACCATCCTTTTGTTCTTCTGAATACCTACTCAAAAAAAGTCCATTTTTTAAAAAGTAACTTCAGCCTAGGCAGATAACTATAACTAAGAAACCCACTCTACCAATTAATAACTTGTTCAAATAATGTAATCAGAGAAATAAGTGTTCACACTAAGGGTGTCAAAAAACTATTTCTAACACGTACTTTCAAATGAAAAGGCCATCTTAAATGTAACAAAGTTTATCCAAAGAAAATTGAAATTTTTGCTTAAAAACTTCAAAACCAAAAATGAGACCTTTTTGATTTTTCCTAATTTATGCCTTAACATTTCAGAGACAGCAACCTTGAAATTTAAGTTCATGTCCTTGACAAATATTCAGAAAAATAACATCACTTTCTCATGACAATTGTGTCTTGGCTTTACACAAATGATGTGCTTATGAAAAATTTAAATTATCAGGTAAAGGTTCTGGGAGTTATCTGAGTTACCATGCCAGACACTGGCAAATCTGTGCCTAGAGTCGGGGCGCACTGATCCCTACACAGTGCCTTCTCCAGGCCACAGGGCTAGTTCAGACACACTGCGAACAGTGTGTGCTGTACAACTCGTCTTACCACCACTGGGGAACCCCAACTTCCAAGTCTAGTATCCAAGGCCTTAACTTCAATCTACCTTTCTTAGTTCTCTCCATTTACCATGGAATAAGGTAAAACTTTAGATATCAAATAAACAGGCTGGTTACCCAATTCATTATTTCTTCTCACTTTTTAAAATCCAGTCCTTTTGGAGAACCTACATATAAACACAGTACCAGACACTGGGGTCATAAAGAGAAGATAAATGTCACTGGTATGACTTAAATATTGTGATGAGAGTCAATGCCATGAGAAAAATGCTTTAAATATCTACAAAAGGTAGAGCCCTAAGATATGGGAAGAACATGAGGAATATTCAGAATAGAATGGAAGAAGTAAACAGATCAGTTGAATAAAATCAATTGGTATAGCAACGAAACAGAAGAAGATGTAACTTGAACACTGACAAAAAAGGTTAAAAAAAAAAAAAGGGTTGGCCCAGCAATTAGGAGTTTGACCTTTCTTACAAGGAAAGAACACAGTCAGTGTCCTGGCCAGAGGTCTTCTGAATCATTAAAATAAAATTAGCCAGCAGAGCAGATTACCTCAGGATTTGTTAGAAAGATTGGAACCAAAATAATTTGGGGATGAAATAATTATATTCTTAATAATAAGCAAGTACCTTTCGATGCAAGGAAAGAAACAACAAGAATAATAGAACTAACTACTACCAAAATGTTTCAGAGAATCAAATCATTAGCATTTGTTTATGATGTTTTAGTATATTTAATTTGCATATCTGAAACATGTAAGACAATTATGCCCATTAGGGTAAAAGATCAGCCTTGTAACTCCAATTTAAAACACATCAGTAATTAATTTAAACCAGTGATTTAAATTTGAATTTCACTATCGATAGTACCAAAACTTAAAATATTAAGATTTATCATATTTAACTGAACTACTTGAAAAATAGTGACCATATTAGAAGTTATTTAAAGAGTCTAAAATCTTGACTGTAAAAGGAATAAAATATAATCATAGTGTTTTGCTGACTGCTTAAATTTACGATACTTATGTAAAAAGTAAGATTTGTAAGCTAAACATTAAAGCTTAAGTAAATGTTAGGGTTTTAAATTTAACTTCAATATATAAACTCAAAAGGAAATGCTCAATAATCTCTTTTGTTTAAAAACACCACCTTCAAAAATACCAAATCCTCCTTACATCTTATTTATCCTATCTGTCCTGTGCTAGGTAAAAGAAAATAAATTTATCTCTATCATTCAGATTGCTCATTTATTGTACTCTAGTGGCATAACTTAGAAAGGAAAACACTCTTCTTTTAGAAACATACATCTCCCAGCCAAGATTATAAAGCTTTGAGAACATGAGGCATGTCTTATTCTATGTTGTATCCCTATGAATATCTCATATAAGATAATCCTAATATATACTAACCACTGGTGATTGATGAACTGAATTTTAATAGCCAGAAATTTCCTTTTAAACCTACTATTACCTCTGTCACATCCCAATGGTGCGAAAACTGGTCCCAGTCTGTCAGGTAAAGCAGCACAGGGGAAAGCTGCGTCTGGATGACATGGGGAACGCCTCGAAGGCTCTGAAGCCAAGTCAACTCCTCTTTCGAAAACCCTAATTTGGGTACAAAGTAATATTAAAAAAATAAATTACAAAGCAAGTGCCATTCTTTATATTTTTTCAAAAAATAGAGATGACATGTACCTTTAAGTTAAATTCTTCTTTAAACTACATTGTTTTCTCTGAAATTCTGCATTTCATGTAGTATTTTTTTAAATGAATAGCTAGTAATGGAGGCAGTAAAATTCAGGTATTTATGTACACAAGTGTGTGCTCTGACCGAATCTATAAATACAGCAAGAAACAGGTCTTATGACTTACCTAAAAAATAAAAAGGCATAACTTTTCCAAATACTGACAGGTTTAAAAAGCAAATGAACAAGTAAAAATAATATGCTCCATACACATACCAAACTCTGTATTCTTTTACATAATAGCCCTTTCAAACTACTATGTGATTCTCTTACCACGCTATTATACTTGGCCTGACCTACATAGACAGTGGGCCAAAGTCCCTCCTGAAGACAGCTCTTAGAATGATCAGGACACCAGCAATGTCGTCAGTCTGACCCTAGCTTTCTGCTTTGATGCTCAGACCACTGTATTTCCATGAACATAGCCTAAAGAGGCCTCATCTAGTTTGACAGCCACATCACATTACTGACTCCTAATAAGTTTTCTAAAACCGCTAAATCTTCTGACAGGTACTACTACTAAAACATAAAGTCCCCCACCTCCATCTCAAATATGTACATCTAAAACTATCAAATAAACATGGAGGCGTCTACATTTCTTACATAAAATTTGTCTTGCTGGATTCAGCTCATTATCAGAATCCGTGAAATTCTCTTTGGATGCTGACTTAACATAGTAATTATAAATCTCCTAATTACAAGTCTTCAAAAAATTTTTAAAGAATCTCATCTTTACCAAAGGGTCGCTGGTTCCATTCCTAGTCAGGGCACATGCCTGGGTTGCAGGCTAGGTCCCTGGTAGGGGGCATGTGAGAAGCAACCATGCATTGATGTTTCTTTCTTTCTCCCTCCCTTCCTCCTCTCTAAAAATATTAAAATTAAAAAATCTCATCACCATCATCCAAGTATAAAACTGAAATGTTGAATGAGCACAATCATTTAAACAATAGTAATAATAGTAGTAGTATTATTATACACATCTTATACATCTAACTTGAACTTGACATTTCTATGTTTACTAATTTGCGTTGAGGGCAAATGGGATGCAGAAACAGCTCATCGAAATTTGATGCTCTTCCTATCTAGTTGTTTAAAATGTTTAAAATGTTCTGTTCATCAATTTTTAAAGGTACGCAATGGGGTTTTCTCTGGCTATCTGAATAAGAGGTATGTCCAATTCACTGTAAACAAAGACAAGAAGGAAGTTGAGAAGTAAGACTAAAGAGAAAGTGAAAAAAAAATAATGACAATTCATTCCCAAGGTTTTGGTATTCAATACTTACTATGAGAGACTTAAAGATGAATCATGTATCTCCCTGCCTAAAGAGTTGGACAATATAGGGTAAAAATATTCCTTCAAAGATTTCCACTTATTAACCAAGAGAAATCATTCTAAGATAGACACCTTATCATCCTCAAAACTTAGAGCCAACATATAAAACAGTATGTTTTAAGATACTCTTCATACTAAGTTTTTTCCCTTTCCTTAACGTGGCAGGTGAATGTGGTTACCTGTAAGTGTTGAAAATAAGAAGCTGAAATAATCCACATCCCTCATCAAACAGTCTTTCACCGAATACTTCCATCCAGAAAATGATGATCTATAATAAACAATGGGAGAACTATTATCAGAAGTGACCAACTTGAAGATTCAAGAATAACAACACAGTATATAACCATTTTTCTTCATTGAAAACAAGTCAGATTTAGTAGCTTAAGCGAAACCTACAGTATGCATTGATTTAGTATGTAAAGGCTCAACATAACATGGACACTTTAACTTCTATTTATATTTACGTAAAGTTACATAAAAAGCATAACTGGTCCACACAGTATAGGATGTAATTCAGAAAATTTCCACACCATTTGAAAACCATACTGTAAGGAGCCAAGATTACATTTTGCTTTTCAGCAGTCGCAGCTGCTATATATTTACTTGATTTTAAAGAAGTCTTACCTGCTTACTGTAAACAAGCTCCAGCTTCCTACCTAAGTATCTTAATTAGGTAATGAATACTTCCATTTATAGCCACTCTAAGATTATATGCCCCTATCCTTCGCAAAGCTGTAACTCAGGGGTGTAAAACTCATTTTCACCGGGGGCCACATCAGCCTCGCAGTTGCCTTCCAAGGGCGAAATTAATTTTAGGACTGTATAAATGTAACTACTCCTGAACAGTTAAAGAACTGAAATTATATTCGGCCCTTTGAAGGCAACAGTGAGGCTGGTGAGGCTGCTGTGGCCCCCGGTGAAAATGAGTTTGACACACCTGTTGTAACTAGCCCTACCTAACAATAGTGCAGATAAAGAAGCAGCTTCTCATTAGATAACATTTATCTGGTTCCTGCTCTAAGTTCAGATTCCAGTGACATCTTTAAAGATTCTCTTCAACATACAGCTAAGAATGAAGAGAACAAATGTCAACCAGGAATATAGCAGAAGGCTGAGAATGATCAGACGCAGTAAGCTCAGACTACAAACTTTATCAGATATATGAATAAATGCAGAAAAAATTAGGAGTTTCTAATTCAACTGAAAGCACCTACATTTTTTTTTTTACCTGTTAACTGTATTTAACCCAGTGAAACTAGAAACCAACTGTGCCCTCCAGTGGCTAAAATGAGTACAAATCCATTTAGGAATCTATTTTGGACCAATGACAATAATAGATCACGCTGTCCTTAAAACTGCAATGCCCATATACACTGTCCAAGCCAGGCCACTTCAAGAGTACAGGGATGTGACTGCTGACTATGCTTGGACAGAAGTAACTGGAACTGCTCACTGAAGACCTGATCATACATTCGCCCTATTTAAAACCAAGCCAAACTGCTCAGTCCAAGAATTTCTCCCCCTTCCTAGAGATTTTTACCAAGCATTTACCAATTATGTTCCCCAGTCCAGCTATAAATAAACTAGGGGCCAGGACAGGACTGAGCAGAGGCCAGTGGAACAACACAAGTATCATGCTATGAGGGGGAAATCCAACTCTAAACACTTTAAACAGGTAGGGGGAAAGGTAGCAGCAGCAACTCTTACATACACTTTTTAATGTAACAGACAAAAATCAGAAATGACTAAAGGAATATTTCAGAAAAATTAATTGGGCGACAGTGCACAAAATAGATGGGACTGAAAAGCAAGATTATTATAATAGTACAGGTGAGAGATAATGAAAACACTATCTAGTTTACAGTCATGGACAAGGAGAGAAGGGGATATTCTGGAGAGAAAACCAAAGATATATAACCCAGTGTATGTTGAAAAAACTAAACATTATTCTTAAATTCTAAATGCAAGAAAAGTGATACAATGATAGTGCCACAGGTCTGAGAAAGTTGAAATGTCCTAATTTTGTATTATTTCTTAAAAGAGATTAGCTTGGGCACAAGCCATCAACAGAGAGAGTGTGTGTGAGAGAGAAATGTAGTAATAGACATTGTACCAATACTAAAAGGCAAAATTTAACTTGGTGGACTTTAAACTACAAAGACAACCAACTTTTAATTTAGTTACTATGAACCCCTATTATCATTTTCTGTAAATTAATGTATTTTCTCAACAATCACATTTCCACAAAAGACTTTTGAAAACACCTTTGACACAAGCATAAACATAATTGATATTTATAAAGCTAATATACCTTCCAAAGAGAATCAATTTCAAAGGGAAGTATTCAGAAGGCAATTTTAACTCAGTATTAAAACAAATCCTCCATTTGTTATATCAAAGGAACAGAGTGCCCTCTACTGGAAGTTAAAAGAGCAACATTAATTGTTTTTAAGGCCTAGCATTAAATAATTGCTTACACTAGACAAAGAGTTTTTAAATTTCTAACAAAGATAAACAAGAGAAACTAATGAATGTTTAAAATACTTAAAAATAAGACCAAGCCTCTCTCTCTAATGCACAAACACACAAACAAATGAACCTTAAATTTTCACATATAAGCAACATGTTGCAAATATCTCTCCTCTACTAAAAGGAAAGGTCATCATCAGTTATGCACAAACTTTGGGTGACTGTATTCAAATGCATGTCCTAAACTGGTATGAAAAGACTGGCAAACAAATATAAAGAGAGTTTACTAATAAAGTGAGCTACTATTTAATTAGGACAGGGAATCTGTACAAGAAGCCACAAGGAAGCTATTCGTTAAAATTTACAGCTACAGCCTAGATTTCAATTTCCACCTAAAACTGTATCAGACCCTGACAATGAGTCACAATCAGTAATAAATATTGCTGAATACTAAAATACTATATAAACATAAGGTGTTTAAGGATTCTTTGAACACATGCATATGACACATTAGTTATAAAACCTTTCAGAGTAAAATGGTAAAGTCACTGTGAAAACCAGCATGGCAGATTCTTGAAAAATTAAACAATTACCACATGATCCAGCAATTCCACTTCTGGGTATACAGCTAAAAGAATTAAAAGTAAGAACTAAAATAGGTATCTAATACTTCAGTGTTGATAGCAGCATTACTCATAATAGCTAAAAAGGTAGAAAAAACCAAGTGTCCACCAACATACAACAAGATAAACAAAATGTACAATAGTAAGCATTATTCTGCCTTAAAA